GCTGGGCCTGTTCAGCCTGGAGAAGAGAAGGCTGAGAGGGGATCTGATCAGTGTCTATAAGTACCTCAAGGGAGGCAGTGAGGGGGATGGTGCTGGCCTCTTTTCACTGGTGGCCTCTAGAGGTGGACAGAACTAGAGGTAATGGCCACAAACTGAAGCACCAAAAGTTCCACAGGAACTTAAGGAAAAATTTATTGACAGTGAGGGTGACAGAGCCCTGGCACAGGCTGCCCAGAAAGGTTGTGGAGTCTCCTTCTCTGGAGATCTTCCAAACCCGCTTGGACGCAGTCCTGTGCCACGTGCTCTAGGTGACCCTGCGTGTGCAGGGCGGTTGGACTAGATGACCTCTAGAGGTGCCTTCCAACTTTAAGCATTCTGTGGTTCTATGATTCTGTGAAATCACTGGATTTTTTCAACTGAATGCAGCTGGATATCTGAAGCACAGTAGTACAGAATAATAATGATGGAACTTGTACAGAATAAGCATCTTATTTAGACACTCTTAGAATTTAGCTGGGTTTAAGGGGCTTGGTACTGTATATGAGCTCTTAAGTGTGGACCAAGCCTTTTATTTTAAGTTCTGAGTTAAGTGCAACTACTCCTATTAAAAGAGATCAGAGAAGTGGCATAAACATTTGGGTAAATACAGCTGAGCCAAAGGTGCAAAATCTGAGCAGACAGATATGCCGAGCAGACAGATATGCCAAGCTTCCAGATAAACTCTCTTACTTGAACTTTCTAACCTTTGACCTGCCTAGCAGTATTGCACTGTATTGCCATCTTAAGACAATTGCAAAAACCTCTGTCACATTTCTACTGAGGACTTTTGGGCTTGTGAAGTGGTTTCACAAAGACCTGTAAATGTCTTTGGTTGTGAATACATAGTTTTACCGGCTTGAGTCCTTCTCCAAGTCTTCTAAGAGGTTGAAGAAGTTACTGTGTTTTCTCTGCATCTCTCAGCATTAAGTGCATTGATAAGTTTAACAGCCGCAGTTTTTGTTATAGATATGTAGTTCCTCAGTAAGTATGTAGCTGCACAGTTAGATTAAAAGTCATTTGTCTTCTTCTATTTTTATTATTAAAGATGCTGCCTTTTTTTTTTTTTTTTTTGTAGAGTTTTTCTATTTGCCATTTTGGAGAGTCAAACTTCTCTTTTCAGGGTTTGGTGTTTTTCTTCATAACGAATTCTGCAGAATTTTGTTCTGTCAAAGCAAAATAGAATCTCATGCTTCAGACAGCTTAGTCTGTCACAGACTTTCTGAGGGAAGTCATACTGAATTACTGAATTATTCATAGCTTCATAAGATCCACAACACTGACTATCAGACTTTCATGTATAGCAGCTGGGCCTCTTTCTGAGTCTCTCTTTAGTAGCCTTGAAGATCTGCTGTGTCTTTATGTGGAACTGGACCTATCATGAGAAGAGATATGTGAGGGGTTTCCATTAACCTATGTGAATGGCAGAGATGAGTTTTGGTCTGGATTTTGTCAAAAAACCTTCTTATTTTGCCTAAGACTTTTGAATGTTTGATTTTCATGAATGCTGTGTGAAAGTGGATGAGAAAAATGCTTACATGGCCACATTTAGTGGCAGATTGTTGGAATTCATTGGACACGAATTCGTGTACCAGATACAAATTTAACCATTTGTATTTTGTTTCAAGAAATTGATTTTATCCTCTATCTCTCCATGCCTTCAAGGTTTTCTGAAAGCCAGGAGACTCACGCAGCTATTGAAAACAACACATTCCTTCCAGTCACTGGCAAACCCAGAAGATAAAGGGTAGAATTAAACATTTTATTTTCAAGATTTTTTTTCCCCTTCACAAAAGCTATTGCAACAGCTTTATTTCTTTTGTTCAAGTACATTGTGCTGACCATGACTTGGTGATAGCCAGAATTTATGAAATAATGTGTGGGAAGTGAAAACCCTGTCAACACACCCACTCACACATACCTCCTCTCCTTTTGGCACACAGTGGTTAATGATTCCCTGAAGCATTAAATAGAAAAGTTCTGCTGCCATCACCCTCAGCTGCTTGTTCCTCACTTGTCAGTAAGAGTTGTTAAAAAAAAAAAAAAAGACAGAAAATGCCAATATTAAAATAATAATAGTAAAAATTGAGATTAGTATATAGTGAGATAAATATAGTGAGATTAGTAAAAACAGTAGGATGCCAATATAAAGATACCAATTGGAAGATTCAATTAAGGATACTGACTGGAAGATTCAAGGCAATAGTTCGGATAAGTTCAGCTTTTAAATGGCATGGCCAGTATTCCGGCTGAATTGGAAAAGATATATAAAACTTTTTGCACTTAAATCCTCAATTCATGAAAATTATTTTAACTCAGTGTTAGTGATCTTGTTGCAGTAAGCTCAGGCCAAAGGAGAATGAGGTAGCTGGGACAAAGACTTATTTCATGGCTGGTATTTATAGTCTCACCAGTGTACTTTATTTGTTGTATTTTCAGTTTTAGATTAACAGTGCCTGGGAGAAGCATATATGCTTTGACATAAGACACTTATAGTCTGCATCTGTTCAAAAGTTCCAAAACTAACTTTTAAGTGTCACCAACCTGGCTAGATATGAACCCTTAATTAAGGCTAATTAAACTGCTGTAAAAATCAGAAAAAAAAAAGTAGAGTCACAGACCTGCAGGCAGGAGTGTCTGCAGGTCTATGACAAGTAGCTGACATAAGACAGGTGATCAGAAGATTTATTTCAGAGAGAACTCTGAAGAAAATCAAAAGCTATTAATCTAGTTTCAATTATTTATGTAAAAATGCTTCTGCATTTTGCCAATTCTTTGGCTTCCAGACAACCTTGGTATGCAGATTGAGAATCTGGCCAGACATGGGGTTGCTTTGGTTCTTCAGATTACAACCAGAGCACACGGGTAGGAAACTGACTGAGAATGTTATAAATGTTATGTGAATAACAAGAAGTTTCTGTTCCCTGGGTCTCTGTGCCCCAAACCGTATGAGATGACCTTAACTCCTTAACAAAAATACAATTTTTGTCTCTGCTAAACTTTGAAAGACTGAAAGCACAAGATGTTTTTGTTTTACTGAATCATAACTCTGATCTGAAGTGTTAGCATTGACTGTGTTTGCTAGACATTGCTTGTTTTTTAAGTTGCATAATGATAATACGAAAAGTAATGAAAAAAAAATCTTGTTTTCTGTTCAGTTTGTCTCCCTGCCATTATCTCAAATATTTTCAAGTAAATATTTTCTCAATGCTTCTTGCCCTTGTGCACCCATGCTGCTTTTGCACTTTTCCTTCAGAGTTAAAACTCTTTTTAGGTAAAAAACTCATCTGGGAGCAAAATAGTAATTTTCTTTCCAGAATTAAATAGCATAATGTTTTTGCTTGTATAGTCTCCGGTCTAAAGAAATTAAACAAAACAAACAAACAAACAAAAACAAGTCAAGTTGTTTTTAGAATGGATACAAGCACAAGTGAGTCGAAGTGTAACCACGGGTATTTAGTTAATTTAAAAAGTGTGTATTTAGTATTTTTGTTTGTTTGTTTCATTAAGTAGATCTATTACTGTGTTTGCCTATGGTGTGTAGTAGCAGGTTATGGCTGAAAATCACTAAGTGTGCTGTTTTTTAAGGTGCTAGAGTGAAATAACAACAGCATTAATAACTTTCATTCTGTAGCTAGAATGAGTTGCAACTGCACATGTTTCTTAGCTGGTGCCTTTAGCCTGGTCTGTACTGTAAAAAGTTTGCTGAATTAATGCATTTCTGTGGGTGTTATACATACACCGCTGCAATCACATCTTCTTTTTAGTACTTGTCAACTGTTCCCGCTGTCTTCTCCATTCACCTCCACTTGGCTACCTCTATCCTCCTTTGGGTGCGTTTTCTCTTCTGGTTCCTTGTTTTTCCATCTATCCATGTCCCATGCAGAGGGTTTCTTCCTCTGCCTTGCACAGGTGTTGGCAGGGAATTTGGTCAAGAAAAAGTCTGTATCTGTATACTAAAGCATCTCCTGGATAGAACAAGCTACTCAAAGATGTTGTTTATTTTGTTCAAAATACTCTGAAGTTGCTCTGAAATTGTGGCGTATTTCAGAGACTAACAATTTGACCAAAACCACAGCTATTCCACAGCTGAAAGTTTGGATTTCAAGATTTTCAGCATCCTTATGGGGATAGAGAGGTTGTTCATCTTTGGCAATGAAATGTGGAACTGATCTTATTTCACAGCATTGCAGGAGAATAAAGATCATGTGGCTGCAGCCACTGCTGGAGGTCTCTGCTTGATTGCCTCGCTTTTTCCTTCTGCATGAGGGTTAGCCAAGTGTCTGCTTTCATCACTGTGTCTTCTCCATGAAGGTTTTTGTCTCTAACCTTGCCTGAATGTAGTATTTTTTCCTCCAAAATGTTATGCAGTCTGCTCTGTGCTGTTAAAGGGTTATTACGTTCAAAATAGTGAGCAAAAGTGATTTCCTTGTTTGGGATATAGATACTAAAGGGTTGTTACAGTGGGGGTGAAGCTAGGTAAACCTAAGGTTCTCTAAAACTCCTGTAAGAGTTTTTAAATAGTTAATTTGATTCCGTATGAGGAAATGCTAGTATTTTCGTGCAGTATTTTGGATCTGATTGATCAAATAGATGTAAAAATTTTTAATATATCTTTATATAAACTTTCTCAGTATTCATTTTCAGAAAGCACAAAATACTAATTCTTTATCTTCGACACTCAAATCTCATATTGTAGAATAAATTCCTAAGGAAACACATTTTCTGTGTACTTGTACTTTTAACCCATCTTTTTCAATCACCTTTAGACAGTTTTACTGAAATTTGAGAGGTTGTTGTCACATACACCATTTAAGTTCCTACTTTGTGTGTGTGTGTGAAATGAACATCTGTCTAGAAAATGAAAAACTGAATTACTGCTTACACAATAGGAAAGACAATTATATTTCTTTTGCTGTTGTTGTTCTTCAGTGTAAAATACTTAATCCCGATTTAGATCTCTTGCAGAAAACCTGCTAATCAAAGAAGCCAAGAACTTCTTGTGTATATTTTGTTTTTTCTCCAGATGTTGGTGAGAAGTAACAACCTTTCTGACAAGATCACCGTGCTGTCAGGAAAAGTTGAGGATATCTCCCTACCTGAGAGGGTTGATGTGGTAATTTCTGAACCAATGGGTTTTATGCTGTTCAATGAAAGGATGTTGGAAAGTTACCTCCACTCCAAAAAATGGCTGAAATGCAATGGTGAGTGAGTCTCTGCTCTTATTCCTCTGTACAGAGAAAAGAAGATGAAAAGCTTCTGAAGGAAGAGGAAAGACCTGCACTGATAATCCGGGATTGTCTGGGTTTATTCCTTGTTTCTAGCTCCACTGGCAGCATTTAGAGAGCCCAAAGGGGCAAGTATAATGATGCAGCCTCTATTGCCCGTGCTCCATGATGTGATTCCCTGATGTTTCTTGCTGGAGGTGGCTCTTGAATATGTTGTTTTTTGGCCACTGGTTTGTTTTGATCTTAGCTTGCCCTTTTGTACCCTATGATTGCATCTCTCCTGCAGTGTATCATAAAACAAGATGGCCAACTACCCTCAAATGCATTGTAGATGAGATCAGGATGGCCAAATATGGTCACTTTTATTGGAAAAACAGCAAACTCTTTTTTTTTGGGGGGTAGTGGGGTAGGGGAAGGGAATTTATGAATTTCAGATTATTCTGAGATCCTTTCACTGGGCTTCACCCAAATACTTTTTTCTAATGCTTGGGTCTCTCCTCTTTAATGACGTATCAAAGTAATTAGTACTCTGCATTTCATTCCTCTCCTGTTTGGAGACATTTTGAAGGGAATCTGTAAAATCCAAGACGTTGTGGGAAAGTTCTTTGTGAGGTAAATCTAGGTATCCAATTGCTATCTGCTAAATTCTCCTACATGAGTAATGAACTATAAACTCTCTTCAAAGACTTCTTTAAAAGCAGTCTTTCTCACATGAAATTACTGCAGGGTGGAAATCTTGTAAAGCGTAAACTAAATCGCTGCCTCAAGGTCAGGTGCTAATGAGTTTTAATTCTGGCTTTGCTATTGAATTCCCTCTTCCAAAATACCTCCGGGTGCTGTTCTTCGAAAGTCACCCGCTGATATTTAGGCTCCAGTTTAGACTCTCAAGGTCTCCTTTCGGAGGGTCTGCTTTCCACAGCACCTCTGGAAACTGATCCCTAGGCAGCTCATTCTCAGAGGCAGCTCAAGGTGAGTGGATACTTGGGCAAGTACCTGCCCCAGGTTCCGACTCCTCACTCGTGCAGGGAGTAAGTTACTGGACTCACCTTATGCAGTGATTATTAAACTTAATGATTCTCTGTGGACTGATGGAATGTTAACTTGCTAGTAGCAGAAATAAAATCAGGTAAGTTTAGTTCTTCTCTGCAAATGTGTTAATACTCTCCCTACAGCCAATTTTAAGAAGCATGTCTATTTTGTGAGTGGGTGTTGTTCTTTCTTCAGTTCCTATAGACTCATCCTACATGATGTACCTGCAAAAAGACTTTCATTTTCCCAACTATGCATCATGTTTTGTACCGTGTAGAAAAGTGTCTGATGAGATATGTTAAAATGGTCTCTAAAATGATGAGTCTTTGTTCCCTGCTTCTCACAGCCATGCACACGAAGGAATACAAGAGCTTCCCTTTATGCTGTTAGGCGGTCTGATGTAGTGCCCCCTGTTCAAAAAAAAAAAAAGGTGTTTTTTTGTGGAGTCCTGTAATATTCCTAGATAAAAAGCCACACAGTGAAGTTTGCATAACCGCTTCCTTACCAGTAGTTCTTCTTAATTTGACCAAAACCATAGCCTGCAGTTTAACTCAGGATCATCTGAGCTTTAATGAAAATTCTTCACACAAGCTTTTGAGAAAAGTTTCATGAGAAAAGTCTAAGCAAACAAGATGTTCCATTGGAGATCATTGAGAAGGTAGCATTTCACTTCATTTAAAGAGAGCTAATTTTTTTTTTCAAATAGTTGATACAGGACCATAACAGGGTTTTATAAAGTTTCTTGGTTTGTCCAGCCCACTTGTTGTGGGTTGTTTTTGTTACTGACTGCTTTAATATATTCAGATTTTAGTAATTCATATACTGATGAAATAAATGTTATCCCGTTGAAGTGTTTGGCAACTGCTGCTTGTGAACTGGTGATCTCTTGCTAGTGAAGACATTCCTATAAGAAATGTCAATGGGACTCTGCATTGCTATTGTATATTATCTTTTGTTTACTAGGAATGATGTTTCCAACATTAAGTGACATTCATTTCGCTCCTTTTTCCGATGAGCAGCTGTACATGGAACACTACTCCAGAGCCAATTTTTGGTAATGACATTTTATTTTATTTTATTTTATTATTGCCTGGAGGTTCACTAATAGTTAAAAATTAAATTAGTTGTTTGATTCATAATAAAGTGGAACTTCGTATCTGTCAATATTGGAAGAGAACTCTCTTATGTTTTTCATGTTCACTTCTACAGCACTGGGCTCTAGCCACAGTGTTCTTTGAGTGAGAATGGTAAATTATTGTTGCCCAAAATATTTATGCAGCCTCAACAAGAACCCTTTTAATGCTAATAATGCTAGTATCTGCTGTTGAGCTGTTGATGGCCTTTATATGGGACAGAATATCCATAACAGTATTCTAATAAGAAAGAAAAAAAGAGATATTTTCTTTTCAGCAAAGGGCAAGACAGTTTCTAAATATCTCCTTCAGAGGTTACAGATCAATTAATTTATAAATTAATCATTTATAGATTGTTACTTGAAATTCTTGGGTAAAAAGTGCTGTGTAAAGGATTAGTTCTTTTTAAATATTATGGAAGATTATACTTATTATTAAGTTCTTTCAGCTTACAGTGTGGTATCTAACCATTAAGTTGATTTCATCAAAGCTATTCATTGGTTCTTATATTAAGGAAGATGTTTTCTTTTATGCAAACTTTTTTTTTCTGTCTGCCTCTGAATTAGAACTTCTCACTTATCCTATAGAGATGAAATGTGTGAGAAAAAATGGTCTTATATGTTGAATGCCTTACAGTTGCTCTTTTGTCTCACCTGCATAAGTTAAGAGATAGCACATACTCTGAACATGGTATAACATACATGCTTAGAACTGAGGAAAAAGCCACAGGGTTACTCTGTGCCAAGAAACTTGGAAAAAAAGGAATGCAGAGGTAACTCCTGGTATTTGCTGAAGCACGTCCTGATCCCTCTCCCCTGCTTTTTTTTGCCTGCATATAACATATCAATCTGACCTGAGCGTTACATCGTGCCAAGAGACAGCTTCCTCATCATTTAATGAAGGAAATGCATAGTCAGTAGCTGACACAGAAATACAGCTCTTTTCCCCAGGTCTGTTCCTGCCGATATGGAAGCGTTCCATTACAGGCTGCCTGGGATGCTTCACCTCTGTCTGCAGCCAGTGTAGGACCCTGTGTGATAAGGGGAACACCTCTGGGGTGGATGCACACGGACATCCTCATGAGCACTGAACAATGTGGTCCTGGTGGCGGTGGAAGGAAGTAGGCCAACTATCGTCATTTAAGAATTGAGACATGGGAGTGGTAGCACAAATATGAGGTTAAAAAAAATAAGCAATGAGACTTCATCTAGATCTAAACCCGCAGGGTTTGACTCCTCACATTCTGCACTTGCACATTATATGAGCTGCCTTGTCTGACAAACACTGTGAGGCTTTCAAAGAACTGTATAAAAGGTAAAAACACATCTTTCAAGTCTGCAGCAATAACTTCCTACTCTGCAGTAGGAATATTTTTGTCATTGTCTCCCATTTTTGACAAATTTTTATTAAAACCTTTTTACTTTTGATGAGAATATCTGTGATTAGTATGGTTGAAATATGTAAGACAATCACCCTGGGTGAGATTCCTCTTTTTTTCAGATTTTGTTTGACTTGCTGCTAGACAAAATAGTTTTTGCTACAATAATATGCTGTCTTGAGATGCCTCCCAAGCAGAGGACTTTATCATCAGTCCTCCTATTTCATATAGTTGGGTTTTGTAAGGACATATGCTCAAAAAATTCCAGAAGATGATTAAATACTTCTGGAGTTTATGTACTCTCACTATCAACTTTCAAGGGCACTTTCTCTCTCTGGTCTTTTTTTTTCAAGGTAATTGTTGAAAAATAGTACTTATATATGCATCAAATTCCAGGCCTCAAAAAAAAAAGACTGCTTTCCTCTATTCTTTGCTGCTCAGAGCATGAGATGTATTTTGTGTGTAATAAATCCTTTCCTATTTAGCAAACTGCTTTCAAATAAGATAACAACTTGTGACATACGTAACAGAAAGATCTAAATTTTTTTGGAACCACTACTCGATAATACTTGAAAAAAATAAGTATCTGGATTTGTAATTTAAGCTTGTTCGTGGTGAAGACTGCAGGACTTTGAAAACACTCCAAAATCCTGTACGAGAATCTCGAGATCTCCTTGGGAGATCTTCCAAACCTGCCTGGACACCTCTAGGTGTCCCTGCTTGAGCAAGGGCTTTGGACTAGGTGGTATCTAGAAGTCCCTTGCAACCTCAACCATTCTGTGGTTCTGTGCGATTCTGTGAGGAGTGCTTTGGCATTAGAGTACTCAAGGCTGCTTACTGGGCAAAGGAAAGGCTAAAAAGTTCTCGTGCATTTAGGATTATTGCCTGGGATCTGTACAATAATAATTATGAGGCTGTATACACTGGCTATGTTTCAGAAATGCACATTAATCTACCAGGAATCATTCCTAAAAGTGTGTTAGTATGTGGCTTGCCATGGGAGAGCTGAATGTTTTTTTTGTTGTCAAAAGCCTTGCAAATATAGGAAGACATAAAGCATAAATATACAGAAAGTTGTTAAAAACAGGATATATTTTTTCAGTGACAAAAGTAGATAATTCAGTTGAACAGTACAGCAAACATTTAGAAAAGGATAAAAGATCACTTGCAGCTTACTCCCTCTTTTGTGCTTTTCCAGTTTGTTCCTTGAAGAGATCCTCTCAGATTTAGTCACGCAGACATCTTTCCCATGAGCAATTAGCAGTGAACTAATATTGCAGAATTAATTTATCATAAAGGGGTGTCATTAAACTGGTTTAGACCTAGTCAGCTAAGTATTGACAGTTTAAGAGCTGTATGATTTGTAACAATAGAAACAAAAATTTGAGATTTCCTGTTTTAAGTGCTCTGCAGGCTCAGGAGAAAGCTTCAAATCATGGTTTTACACTTAGATGACACTTTCATCACAGAAATTTATCTATCTCCCTTGCTGTTCTCCCTCTTCATCCCCTTTTGGATCTGTGACCTGAAAATAAAGATACCCATTAACTTCATGGTGTTGATAAGAGGATCATGTCCAGGATCTGGGAATTTGCTTTAGGCATGTATACTTCAATTTCAGAATTTATGTTTTAGGTAGGCTGGATTTGCGTTCAGTGAACATTTTGAATTGGTAAGATAAAACTGTTGGTTTTCTGTTGCTGTTGTTCATTGTTTTTCAGTTGATATAAGATGAACTTCTGCTTTCTTCTTCAGTGTCAATAGAAACAAGTAAAACAGGGGTCTTCAGCACTGTTTTAATTTGTACCAGGTTCGCTCCCATTTCTGGACAAGCACAGGATAAAAGGCTTTCAAAATGAATTTACTGGCTTCCTGAACCCTTCTTCCTATTGTCTGTCTTTTGTATCTAGTGTGAAAACCTCTGTGTTTCCATTTGAGGAACTCAAGTCACCTCAGTGCTGTAGAAGGTGTCTGCAGGGAAGGGAAGCTGAGGAGGGAAACTGAGGGTGGCTGGAATTGGGACTTCAGCAAATTGCAGGAAGGAAAAGTGCCCTCAGGCAAACTTCCCCTTTTATGGACAACTATGGGGCATTGGTTTTTATGGTATGCACTAGAATCCAGATTTCTTTTTTTTTTTTACCTGAACCTTTTCAATGTATTGATGTTTCTAGGTACCAAGAGTGCTTTTACGGGGTCAATCTCTCCAGTCTACGTAAAGCAGCCGTGGACGAGTATTTCAGACAACCCATTGTGGTAGGTTTGTAGACGTCTGCGTGTGTGTGTTTTCCCTTCTCTTCTCCTTACGTTATCCCTCCACAAAACCCTGCAGGTGTAGTGGCACCTAGTTTGACTACGCTCTGTGACTGTGGTACAGAAAGCCAGGACTCTCTGAAAGCTATGAACAGAGCTGCTGTCAAAGGTTAACAGCTATGTGCAATGTTCCTGTATTTGCTGTAAGTAGAGGATGTCTAGAGATATTCACACATCAGAAAGCCACAGGACGCGTATATCTGTTTTTACAATATGCAACCACCCTCCCTCACTGTTTGCAACCTCTCTTTTAAGTGCTGGGATTTGGCATTTTTCTTTTTCTTCTCTAATACACCAACTAAAGCAAAAAGAGAAAGCAGCCAAACAAACAGGTTTGTGTAATATGAAACAAATTTTATTTTAGCATTGAAGTATTCTTATTTTATTGTTTCTTTGGGCTGAGGATCTTCAATTCTTGTTGTTTTTAATAGAAGACTGTACCTAGCTGGAAGGAATAGGGATTATTCCTTGTTCAATTCTCTGGAGAAAAAAAAACAAAAAGACAGAAAACCACAACCACCTCCCCACCTCAACTTCATGCATCACAATACACAATGTAAAAGTCCTACTGCAACAAGTCTGGGCTAACTTTAAGCTAATTAGTTTAAGTAGCAATAGCTGCAGTTGAGTGGAGGCTGTACAACCTGCCCAGGAACCTGGGAAGATGCCTGAGAGTTGCTGTGACTCTTCCACTGTGCTGCTTTCAGTGCATAAAGTAGATATGTTAAATTACCAAGTTTCAGCTGTGTCTTTGACTGCAGCATCATCCGTGCCCAGTGTTAGATATTTAGCTTTCAGTTAGGACTGAAACCCCATAGTTTTGTTCTGTAGGAAGGACGTTTGTTTGTTTCTCAGCTGAGATTCTTCTTCCTCTGATGATTTGAAATTCAGTGCCCCATAAAAGCCACATTAAAAAAAAAATCCCACACATTTCCTTGATTTTCCTTTAATTTATTACATAGATTTTGGTTTGGTTTTATGCCAAGGCTTTGCTTTACTTGTCAGGAAAACTTGTGAATATAGGATAGACTAGGATTAGGACGTATGATGGAAGAAATAAAGATGAGGAGGAAAATGTTGTTTTCATTTGCTGGAGGGACTAACTACTCCTAACTTGTTTCTGTGGGACAATCCACATTATGTAATTTTTTTTTTTTACACTTTGTAATTTAATTTTAAGCTACTTCCAGACTCTTAGTAGAGTTTGGCCAACTGTGCATTACAGAAGCGTTTATTAAAACATGAGATTAAAAAAAAGCAATTTGTTTTTAGAAGTGATGAACAATTTTGGTATAGGTTTTATTTTTTGTGGGTTGAACAAGACAGTCTTTAATAGGTACGTAAGCTATCGAGTATGTTTAATCCTGCGGGTAGTGCATTTTCTTCCAGAGTTGTTAAAAGTGAGCGTTTGCTTCAGGTGGCCGGTGTGCAGGTTGTTTCGTCTCTTTTTCTCCTGTTGTCTAGCAGCACATTTGTGTGCTGACAAGGCCCAGCGGTAACGTGGCTGCTCTGTTCCCCGCAGGACACTTTCGACGTGAGGATCCTGATGGCTCGGACAGTGAAGTACACCATCAACTTCACCGAAGCTGCGGAGGAGGACTTGCACAGGTTAGCACACACCAGTGTCCCTCACAGAGTCGTTATGGTTGGAAAGGACCTCCAAGATAGTTGAGTTCAACCATAAACCCTTCAACACCGTGCCTGCTAAACGGTGTCCCTAAGCGCCTCATCTGCACGTTCCTTGAACGCTGCCAGGGATGGTGACTCCACCGCTTCTCCTGTGCTTCGTTTCTGTGATTAGTATTTTTAAGAAGCTGGTGGTTCGGGCCAGTGGTGAGCGCAGAAGCGGGGAGGTGGCATGGCACGATGCTTGGGGCGCCTCTAGCAGTTACCACCACGTTCATCTGCAGAGTGGATTGCCTCTTGTTGGTGAAAAGGTCTGTCATGAGCCTGTGAAACAGGAGGGATTAGGTCCAAGAAGTTTCCTATGGAAAGGGAGGAGAAGAGAGCCTTTGCTCCCTAGCATTATCGGTCGGGACACACTTGGTTTAGCTCTGGTGACAAAGCCCTTTCTGTCATTTGCTTCCACATCTTGAAAGACCTCAAACCTGTTGATAAGCTGGGTCATTGCAAGCTGTGTTGCTGGACTCTTTTTGAAAGCTCTGGTCTAAGAGGGGTCAGATGGACCTCTTTACTTCACCGCAAATTGGTAGCTAAAAAGTCTTACAGAAGTGCCACACTGCATGTCTTTGTCCCAGAAGTAGAGCAGCCTCCTTCTGAATATATTACTGAAATAAAATATACCTTGTCAGAGAACTTGAGAGACCACATCAACAGCCTTTGCAAGACATGAGAGAAAATCTCGCAGGCTGTCCCTCAAACTCAGAACACTTGTTGTTTCAGCATGACTCACAACTAACCGTATGTATGACATGGTCTGCTGAGAGAGAGGAATTGCTCTGAGAGAGGGAAACATCTGGAGAATTACTTTCAAGTTTCAACTGGGTAGGGTTGGCTAGTTTCAGCAGTTCTCAGGAGGGAATTTATGTATGCTGTCTCCCCAAACCACGACCAAGTATTATTTGCTTTTCTGTACATAAATGCTGGCCTCGTGATTTGTCTCTGCAAGATGCAGAGAGATTTGGCTGCAACTGCATAGTCACTAACACCCCTTCTGAAAATGAAACTATTCCAGCTACCTCCCGCTCAATTTTTGCTTCTGGTTCCAAGAGTCATTTTGTTTGTGATATTTCTACTGGAGCATTTTCCTGTTAGAATGGTATTTAATATAAAAACACGCCCTTCACTGGCAATGAGAAATTTTCCTTTAGGAAAATTGAACTTCAATATTTTTAAGAATTTGTAGTGTTGTCATCAGCAACATAGTAAGGCTTTGGAAAGGGGTCGTTCAGTTCTGTTGCAAATAAGGCACATAAAAATTAATGCCTAAACTAGTGCCTTTAGCTATTTCTACTGGCACTGAAAATAACAGCATATTCTTTTAAAAATACGGAAAATAGAGGCACGAACTGATAAATAAGAATGGAAATGTAGAAATTAGTATAGGATAGGTTCAGTAAGTGAATGGAGATCATGGAATTTTGTTTTCAGTAGTTTGGGTAAATTGCTTCGGAAACATTTTATTTGTTCTCTGCAGAATGGAGATCCCTTTCGTTTTCCATATGATGCAGTCTGGACTAATCCATGGCCTGGCCTTCTGGTTTGATGTGGCTTTTGTGGGATCACTGTAAGTACTCAGCAGCATAACTCAGAAGGCTGTGATCTTGCTTTCCATTGATTGGTATGTGCAATATCTAACATACAGCTCACCCAGGAATTGTTAATGGTCAAGGTGCATACGTAGATATGGTGTATCTATCTACACCATACTAATTCTTCATATTAGATATACTTCTATGCCTTACAGTGTAAGTAAGGAAGCAGCATACAAATATGAGCTAGAACTTTCTGTTTTGGCCTGATCTAGTTTATGGGTGAAGTGGAAAGGAGATTTCAGGTAGCTGCCTACAAAATGGAAATGCAGTAAACCTCTCTAAGATTTAGGAAAATGTTTTCATTATAACACCACTATGCATTTCAAAATGATGACACCCATCTGGTATAGTAAGATGAAAATTGGATAATCTTTGATTTCCAATGAAAATTAGATAGTCACCTAAGAAATCAAAAGATAGATTTCAGTTGTCTGTATTCAGCTTTATATGTTTTATTTTTCCACTTAAATTTATCCAGATTTGGGTTTTTTTTGCAATATACCGCAAAATTCATTTCTATTCATTTCTGTTGATAAAAACTATTAACTTTTGAAACTGTCTGATTGTGAAGAGATTAGAATACTACCTCCATTAAAACAAAAAGGGTTTTTAGGGCTGAAATCATTAGCTGAGGTCTCTATTTCAGGGTGGAAGATTGCATAATCTGCAGATCTTTCATTCTGAAGTTCTTCATCTCAGCACTTCAAATTTCAGTGGATTGGATTCAGAATATTGCACGTGCTACTGCCTTCTTAGCACCATCAGCCCCTTTCAGCAAAACAACTGTGTTCCACTTAACAGGTGGAAATATTTGAAAAGAGGAATTTCTTCAGGAGTGGTGTTTGGGGATGAAATCACCATTGTGAAGAACCACGTTACAGCTTTCGGAACAAACCTATATTTCTTGTAACTTCTTTTAATCAGAGAACGAGAGCCTGGAAAGCCTCTTTTCTGAGTCTCCATAGTTGTCTGAGGCACTCAGGTCTGGTAGTGACAAGCATGGTATAGATTAAGAAAATAACACAGGATATGGTCGCTGGACTAGTTTGCTTCAGGGTAGTTGAAAGTTTATTTTGAGCAGGTCCTATTAGGCCCTATATACCCAAAGTCCTGATAACTTTAAATTGTTTCTGAAAGAAGAAAATGAGAAACCATGTAGAGATAGTTTTTATTGTTTGTTTTAGGGCAACTGTTTGGTTGTCGACTGCACCGATGGAGCCCCTCACACACTGGTACCAAGTACGCTGCCTTCTTCAGACACCCCTCTTCGCTAAAGAGGGGGAAACTCTCTCAGGAAAAGTGTTGTTTGTTGCCAATGCGAGGTAAGGATAAAGCCTCATGAAGCAGGTTTTCCAGTGTGGCTGTTCTTGTTTGAAGCACTCAAAGACAATTTGTATAAATACTACAGAACCTGTTCTGATGGGTAAGTGATTGAAAACTTTGGCAGCGTAGTGTCTGTTTTAGCTCTATTATATACACCTGTAAGCCAAGTGTCTCTCTCTAAATATATATGCCCATACATATATAGAAGTAGCCTTTTTGTTGATTGTGGATCACAGAGAAAATGTAAAGGGGCATACCTCAGAAAGAGTATTTCTTTATAATAATGTCTGAATCAAAACACATGATCCAATAACAGGGTTTATTAGTGGTCACATAAGCTTGCATTGCTTCTTGCATATGAATAGCCAGAGACCCCTAAATTTAGCACAGCAGAATTGGTTTTAAAGGAAGGGATAGTAGAGGTAGAATCACGTTTAGGCTCTATTAATGGTATTTAAATTCCTCTTAATATGAATTATTCTCTGTGATTATTTTTCATTTATTTCTTTCATTCTTTTTTTTTCCCTTGCAATTTCTTTTTCTGATTTTTTTTGTCTACTAAGAAGTGGTGTTAGTTGCCAGTGCCATGAGGCCTGGGATGGACACTGACATAGTCAGATGCACCTTCCTGTGGATCCTTGTTAGCCACAGAAAGCACCATGACTTCTGGCTGCAGGAACAGGCTTGATTTTCCTATTTTTTAATCTTTTTTTTCTGTCCTTTTACCTCCTTTTCTCTGTCCTGTTTCTACCTAGGTAAACTGTCTTGCTCCCAAGTAGTTTGGGGTACATTTGTACCTAGGTTTGCTATTTTTGACATTGTTCTGTAGGTAATTCTAGATTTACACGATCTCACTGATAAACTTACCTAGGTGCTGTTGGCCTTGCAAGGTTCTGCTCCCCAGAAGGTGCCCAGTGCTCCATGTCAGTCATCTGTGAGTTTGTTTCCCACATAACTCCACTTGGGAAACCCAGGCACCTGTCACAATGTTACTTCTTGTTTTTGTTGGATTTTCATTCGTCTATCTATCAGACACAACAGCTTCTTAAGCCTAATTAAGAATATTTTCCAAGCATTATTCAGTAGGCTTAACTTCAGGCCAGGCCTACTCACCAGTGTGGTCATTTTCTGGCAGCGCTATCAGCCTGGCCCCTCAGTAAATCATACGCAGGGATAAAAGGTGGAGTTGACCCTGACCCCATTCCACACTGCTACTTCTACAAAAAAAAAAGGGCTCTGGACCTGCTCTCCCAGTGCTTTCACAGGACTCTTGCTTGTGCTTCCACTGATGTTAATGGAAAGGAGACCTCTCTTCAGGAGACTTGTATGCTGCTCTTGCCGTCTACCAGAGTTCTGGAAACTCCACTGCTGTATTTTGTTTTGAAAACAGTCACCAAGAGACTGGTTCACACAAGTCGCAGCCTGATTTGCTCGTGTATATTTGTGTTTGCAATTGAAAGCAAAGCCTCTTCTGTGTAGGAAGGTGAATCACACTTTTTTTCTCTCTCCTTTTTTTTTTTGTACTCGCTGGTGAGTCCAGTGAGATCAAACCTGTCAGCGCTCTGCAACGTTGGGACTTGTCACATTGCCAGGTCTTCTGGTTAGGAGCCCCTCACTCACCTCCCTGTGTCTCTTTCAGAAATAAAAGGCATTACTATTTTAACATATAAGAGAAACACTCAACACAGCTGACCACAGAAAGACTGCTATAAATGTTTCAACATATAAAGCATATTTACAACAGAGCATGGCTCGGAGACATCTGAGCTGAAGACCTTCTAGATTGAGAATGAGGAGCAGTTTAGCCACATGTTACCACAGGGTTTGAAGTCCTGCTTCAAAACGACCTGCCCTTGAGATCAACACACCACCTCTGCATAACCCTGTACACCACTCTTCAGGAGCACTGGTTTGGGTGTGCTTGAGCCTTTTTTTTTTTTTTTTTAATCTTTCTGCTTCATACATAAAATCAAGGAGTCTTATTTCACCTTTTGAAGTCAACTTGAGTTTAAGAAATATATGCTGCATTAAGTATTGTATGTTGCTATTATACTGCATATTCACTTTTTTTTTTAAATGAATATACTTTGTTTTTACTGAGGAGAAAAGCTTTTATATTTCCGTACCCCTACTGAAATTTTTGCCTTGAAGAGTCTGTAATTTGAATATTGACATTCCAAAAGTAGCAAACAGACAAAGGAAGGTAAACAAAAAAAAAAAAACAAAGAAACAAACATTACAATACTGCTGATGGGCTCTTGATTCTGGGAGACAGCCCAGGTCAATTGCTGATTAGAGGCATGTCATAAAACAGCATTATTGAATACAGGCATACACTGAAGGTGCTAGTATCTACAGCAAGGATGGTGTCAATGGCCCAACTGCTTCTCTTCACTTCTCTGTGCAAACTCAGTGGCTTGCAAAAAGTCCTGTTAAAAATTAGCCTTTCCAGTGAAATCCTGGGTTCCAGAAAGAATGAACCTAATGCCTTCGGGCCTGCTACATGTTTTTGATCGTGATGACAATCAAGTATTAACTCTGTGTGTGTTAATGTTGAAATATATGGTATTTTGATTGGAAAGAGCAAAGACCTTTCACTGTTACCTTTTGTCAGTGTAAAATGATCATGTTTCTTGGATAGAAATTCTTAGCATTACTTGAGTGTCTTGGTAAATTTTATTTATCTAAAGAGTCAAGTCCTAGCACTGACAGCACAGAAAAATAATTTCTCTTGCTTATTATACTAAATGGTTATTGCTCAGACAGTAGCTATCTTTTAACACAAGAGTTTAAAAATACAACTATTGTTTACCTCTGTTATCGCTTTTTATATTTTTATTTCTGATGCAGACAAAGTTATGATATTCAGATTGTGGCTGTGGTGGACCAGACAGGATTTAAATCTGGTAACATTCTTGACCTAAAGAATCCATTTTTTAGGTAAGAAATGCTTTTAACTAAAATACACCATTACATTTAATGGCTAAAGATTGAGTGGTCAAGTCTTGTATGTCAGGAAGCATACCTACTGTGTATAAATAAGATTCTGACTTCTCATGGTTTATTTTAATTTCACAGGTATTAGGGCACTGTTATTTCAGTGATTTCTTATATAATGCATTATTCCATTCAGGTTGTGCAACAGAGAGCAGAAGGAAGTAGTTTTGTAAGATCTGTGTTGATTTAGTGCTTTGACAAATACATTAAAATACATCTTGGGCAGAACATGGATATGCATTTCTTTTAACTAATATAACTAGGATAAATGCTATTTTTGACATGTGCTTTACGTCACTATGATTCTTGCCAAATTGGCAACACACTAAGCTGCACAGGGCTGGGTACATACCTTGAAACTGGGTATAAAATCATGTGAGGAGGAAAAATCCGTGAGTGCTGCAGCCCTTCCCAACACCGCGGGGAGCCTGTAGTGTTGCTGCAGCTGGGTGAGACTCCTTTTTGAGAAAAACTGTCAGTAACAGATCAAGACAGCCAGCAGGAAGGGACCCTCAATTCTTGCAAAGCAAAAACGACCTGTGAGAAAACCTGGCTGGATGGATCCCTCTTGTTCTTATTGCTGTATTTGGCATAAAAGTAGACAGGATAATAAAACTGGTAAAATTGATTTTTCCAGAGGTACACATGGGAAATAATATTTCGTTAGTTCACTATATTTCCCTTTTATCTCATTTCTTAGCTCAGACCCATATGACAGTTCCACAATAAACCCTTTGTGTCTGGTGAAAATAAATAATTAAGCAATTTCACCAGTGCATTAAGAATGTACCACATTAGATGTTTTTGTTTTCAAGCGGAGGCCTTTTGACTAAATAAATTAACATGTGGTTACAATAGGACTGTTTGTAGAAGATGAGCGATAACTATAAACACAGCCATGCAGTGGAAAAACCTGTGACATGGACAGTGTGTAGTGTGGTTATGGTTTTGGTTTGGTTGATACACGTTTTCTGTGAGGATGATGAGAAATTAATTTCCTGGTCTCTTATAACCTGTATTTACTGTTAGATTTACTGTATGAGCGTGAGTGACTTTTCAAGAATGACAGCTGCCTGCTCTTAGGAGCAAAATAAGCTTTCCTTAAGAGTTTTTAGTTTAGGTAAGCCATAGAAATCACTCCTCAGTAAATGTGTGCCATTAGTCATTTGAAAGACATCCTGGGGAAAAGTGGTCAAATTGTATGTTGCATATAGCAGTAATTTAGGTCCTATAAAGTGGGACTGTGGTTTGAAAATGTAATCAAAAAATCACTGTGTGATTTCAAGGTTGCTTGCCAACTAATTAAGCATGTTTAGTTCATTAATTTAGACTGCTGTTCTTTATGCATTAATGCTTAGAGTCCTTGGTTCTGAAATAGAGCCACAACACAGCAGCCCTATTTCACAGCCTTCCCCTGTGAGGTTGCAGAGTCCTGCTGTTTTGTTATTTATTTCTCCCACTGCATGCTGTCCCTGCCCTTCCATAATAGTTCCTAGAATTCTGGGAGATTTGGGAAAAAAAAAAAAAAAAGGCTTCCCTGTGAAAAATGTTCTCTGTAATATGCAAGCATTTATAAAGTTTTTAAAAATAAAATGAGGGCTAAAATTGAAGTCCAGGTTCCAGACTAGGAGATGCAAATCAGTGCAGATGGGGCAGGGAAGACCTGATTTCCATGTCCAGCTTAAGATTCCCCAACTGCTGTGGAGAACCTGGTGGGACTTGATGCCAACCCCTGCAGGCCAGTCCCGTTCTACCTCCCTGATTTCCA